GGCGGGTGCACCAACTGCTACTTCGCAGGCAACAATGCGTGCTTCCTGGGGTGGAGCAAAGCCCAATGTGATTCCTTGGATCAGTACAAGTGGTGCGGTGATGGCGGCAGCAATCCGTCGCCATCGCCTTCGAATGCTCCCAATCCTTCGACTACATCCAGTTCCAAGCCATCGACTACCTCCAGCCCCAAGCGTACTCCATCTAGCAAACCCTCCACGACCAAGCAACCAACGCTCTCCCCTGCTACATCTCTGAAACCGACTCCTACATCGTCTCCTAACACACCACCATCCCCTCCTGGAAAGTCCGGCTTGACCAACATTTTGTCCAAGGAATTGTTCCTTCGCATCTTCCCTGAAGCCCTCCCCATCTACAACTACGAAAACCTCGTGGCCATCGCTGAAAAGTACCCCGAATTCGCCAACACTGGCGACTCCGACGTCGACCGCCGCGAAGTGGCCGCCTTCCTCGGCCAAATCTCGCTCGAGTCTGGCGATCTTCGCTACGTTGAGGAGATCAACAAGTCCACCATGTGCCAGCAGTCACCCAAGTACCCGTGTGCGGCTGGCAAGCAGTACTTTGGTCGTGGCCCGATCCAGTTGTCGTGGAACTACAACTACAAGGACTTTGGCAAGGCCGTCAACTTGGACTTGGTCGCGAGCCCTGAGCTGGTCGCCACAGATTTCGACTTGGTGTGGTGGAGTGCGTTGTGGTACTGGAACGATGAAAGGTGGAACGGCAACATCCACAAGGTGGTGGGTCTCCCCGGTGGCTTTGCCAAGGCCACTCACATCATCAACGGTGGCTTGGAATGCGGTGTGAACCCTCCCAACCGTGACTCGGAAAAGAGCCGCATTGCCAGTTTCAAGAAGTTCTGCGAGCTCTTGGGGGTGGCTCCCGGGGACAACTTGTCGTGCCAAACCGCTGATTTCCGCCCCAAGGCGCTTTAGGTCTACCTCAAACGTTATCTGTAGATTTTAAGCGTTGTCAAAACTTCGTCCTTGGATTTTCAGTCTATTCTTGACTATTTGTGCTCCTCTTTCCACCACCGACCTGTATATGAGACCATTTGTCTTGCGACTTTGCCAGTCGTACAAAACAAGTCAAGACGGCATCCTAACTATGTACTGTACTTGGCATAGGTAGGTTGAACCTCGCCCCACCTTTGAACAAGTGTACCACTGCCAAAGCAAGGTCGTTGGCTGGACTAAGGTATACTTTAGTCAACACGTGCCATTTCACAATAGCAAAATCCGTTTGAGCGGTGGTGACGGCTTCGGCGTTGAAAGAGGTTCTTTGTTGTGGCATTTTCATTGGACGAAATGATTAGACTTAAAATAGACCAGAAAAAGTACTACCTCACTCCTGAAATGTTCGCTACAATGGCGAATAATCTTGAAGTTCCACAACGATTGCTACAAGTGTACCACTGTGTATCCATTGCGTCGATTAAATGTATTATATACAAATTAAGTGATATTATTTTAAATATTAGGATTTGCAAAATGTCAATGGCATCATCGTCCACAACGTCTTGCACATCAAGACCCTTCAGCTGCGTATGAAACTCACTGTCAATGTGGACCTTGATGCGTGACGACACGTTGGAACATGGGCCGAGCTTGTCGTTGAGATTGACGGCGGCACGTTTAAAATAAGGCGCACGGTGGTTCGTTCATGACGGTGCTTCTTGCCACGCCGAAGTTGGCCGCCACGGCAGCATAGTGTTGATTGGTCATTGCCCAGAGTAAGAAGGTGCTGCAAGACAGCAGTCCGGCCCGAGTTGGACAAATTCTTGGCGTGTGGGCTGACATTCTTAGATACTTGTTCGGATAAACGAAGTATTATCCGGGAATCAGTTATCCGGATACGCTTGCGCCGAATATCATATAGGATAAACTATGGCATCTGTATTTACTGAATTTCTCTCTTTGATTGGTTCATTTTTGGCTCGAAGCATCTTGATTGGTATACTCTGAAACCTCCTCTTCACATACATATCGTTCGTTTTAGATGATTCGACCGGTATCACGTTCATTTTTCAAAAATATTTGATTGTAGCGAAAATTTCAGGACAGAGGTAGTAAGTAATTCGTAGTAAGAGACCTCAGTGTGCAATTTACATACAGTAACGTAATTGTTAATTCGGCCTCGTAGTAAGAGACCTCAGTATGCAATTTACATATTGTTAATTAGGTCTCCTCTACCACACGACATTGGCGTGCAACCGCACGACGTATGGCAGCTTGCTGCACATATTGGAGACTAACGGCCATACCGATCATGATACCATGAGCCGACCTCTAAAAAGGCTCATAGGTATTTCTACAGCGCCATGCATCACAATTACCCCTAAAGGGAGTGTCCGAGGGTTATCTATAGTTCCTCAGCCATTTTCTTCACTAGGCGGAAAACGATGGGGATGTCTTCATAGAGGGAGCGCACGGGCTCCAATGAGGCTTCATCTTCATTGAGGCCAAGCCAGTAGACGAGGGCTTGGTATTCGCCGCTTTATTCACGGACATCACCGAGCTTGGCCACGCGGAACCCTTCATTGTCAAAGGCATTATGGTCGACCAGCTCTTCGGTCACATCGCGGCCGCCTTCGCAATACATCTTGAGTCGGCAGGCGTGGTGGAGGGACAAGTCGTAAGGCTACACCAACTGCTGGGTCTCTATGACATAGTCTGTCACGACCCAGACGATCTTGCTTGGGCCGCACAGTGCAGGGACAGCTTGTTGCCTTGGCGGGACACTTGGCCAACGTGAACAAAGTCGCCGATCGCGAGCTTCTGCAACTGGACAGCCTTGGACTTGGCTTGGCGGTCGCGGGGTTGGCGTCACTTCTGGGGTTTCGGGGTTCCATTGCTTGATGCAGCTCGTCCATGTGCTTCTCGGGCAGACATGATGTTCTGACTTTACACCGACGCAATTGATAGCTTTTGGGGCGCGACCGCCACTCAAGTACGATTCGAAGACCTGGTCGTGCCGTTGGAAGAGCAGCGCCACCAGCCGTTGGCCTTTCTCAGCGGCGCCTTTACCGGCGCAAGCGAGCGTTAGCTAATCGTGGACAAAGAAGCGTTTGCCGTTGTAGAAAGCTGCAAGCGGTGGACTACATTCTCATCCGCCCAGCTCGCTTCCGCCTTTTCACTGACCACAAGAACCTGCGATATATTTTCAATCTTGCCGGCCAGTCCCCAAGCATGGCACGATATCAAGCCCACAAGTTGGAGCGCTGGGGCTGGTGCTGTTCTCGTTCCCTTACACTATCGGGTGCCTGTCCGGTGAAGACAGTATGTGGGAACGACCTGCTCAGCCGCTGGGACACCGCCCAAGCTCAAGTGTCAACGAAGTCCGTCCGGTGCCTCCTGGCCATGGTGTCGCCCCTATAGCAGCTCGACTTCGATTGGCCCAATTCAGCCGGCATTGGCAAGACCCAACAAGTGGTCATGAAGAGGGGAGAGACCCCGCCAACCGGCGTGGCGTGGAATGAAGATAAGAACCTGTTCCTGGACAAGGAAGACCGCATCTGGATCCCACCAAGTGCCACGGACCTCCAGCAGCGGGTCTGCATCAAAGCACACCAAGGCGCCGCGGGCCATCGACGAATCGAAGCCATTACTAAGGCCGTCCGTGATGGCTTCGCCTGAAGCACCCTCGAAGCCGATGTCAAGACCAAGCCTGCATCCACTGCCTCAGCATCTACGGCTCAGTTGTCCCACATCCGCTTGGATCGGCGCTCCATGCCGAGAAGCCCCAAGAACTGAACCAATTCGACTGGCTCTCCATGCCCACGGCGACGAACCGCTGGCAGAAGATCCTCGCCATCAAGGACGACATGAGCGGGATCGTGCAACTTTGGCCCTGCGAGACAAGCGACGCCGCGACGACCTCCAACGGCCTCCTCAACTGGTTCATGACCTTTGGGTACCTGGGTCTCCGACAGCGGCTCCCATTTTAAGAATAAATTATCATCAACAAAATCCTCAAGGCACCCGACGCCCACCACCAATTCACAACCGCCTACTTTCCTTGGGCGAATGGAACCGTTGAAGTAGTCAACCAACTGATCCCCACGCCGTCTAGAAGTTTGTCAACACCGCGACCAAGAAGGTCACCGCCTTCGACTGGCTCAGCTCCACGTGCAAGAAGCACATGTACGAGCTGCATCGCAAAGTGGCTGCGACAAGCGCCAAGAAGTGACAACAACCCCGCAACCGCCAAGCCAAGTCCAAGGCTGTCCAGTTGCAGAAGCTCGCGATCGGCGACTTTGTTCACGTTGGCCAAGTGTCCCGCCAAGGCAACAAGCTGTCCCTGCACTGTGCGGCCCAAGCAAGATCGTCTGGGTCGTGACAGACTATGTCATAGAGACCCAGCAGTTGGTGTAGCCTTACGACTTGTCCCTCCACCACGCCTGCCGACTCAAGATGTATTGCGAAGGCGGCCGCGATGTGACCGAAGAGCTGGTCGACCATAATGCCTTTGACAATGAAGGGTTCCGCGTGGCCAAGCTCGGTGATGTCCGTGAATAAAGCGGCGAATACCAAGCCCTCGTCTACTGGCTTGGCCTCAATGAAGATGAAGCCTCATTGGAGCCCGTGCGCTCCCTCTATGAAGACATCCCCATCGTTTTCCGCCTAGTGAAGAAAATGGCTGAGGAACTATAGATAACCCTCGGACACTCCCTTTAGGGGTAATTGTGCTGCATGGCGCTGTAGAAATACCTATGAGCCTTTTTAGAGGTCGGCTCATGGTATCATGATCGGTATGGCCGTTAGTCTCCAATATGTGCAGCAAGCTGCCATACGTCGTGCGGTTGACAGATGTGCATTGTTGGTGGATTTTCATTGGACCAAATGATTATACTTAAAATGGGCAAAAAAACGTACGCCGGAGTACCAAGAGTAATTCGTAGTAAGAGAGCTCAGTTTGCAATTTAATTCGGCCTCCGCAAGAGGTTCCTGTCGTATAACGACGGGAGCGAAAACACCACCCCCTACAGTGAACTCGGTATTAACTCGCAAGTGTTGCACTCCAAACTATTTTAGAGTTTGTATGGAGCCCTCAATTATCAGTTTTGGAATTATTTTCTTCCAATTGTACAGGTGGACGTTTACAATTGCATTCACCCCGTGTGATTGGTGAATCCTATGCTAAAAATATTCATTATGTACTCTGAGCATATATTATCAAACTTGAAAAATACGAGGTAGAGCCTTTTCGAACGACTTTTTCACCGATGATTCAGAAATGGATTCCCAGGCGCTGATGGTTCTCTCAATCATCTTTCTTCTTTTGTCAGCAGCGGTGATGACCGGGGTCTCTTGAAGCCACCTTGTGCGCAGTTTCGCCTTCAATTGGCCCATGACACCGACATCCAGTGGTTGGATCACGCTCGTTGAGTTGGGCGGCAGCGGCTCCAGAAAGCCGAAAAGCTCCTCGTCAACAGTCTTGTACGACGCACGAGAGACATGCGACGCCAGGTTGTCGACCAAAATGACAGAGGGGCCAATTAATTCAAACTTCAAAAGTTCGTTCAGATAATATATCCAAACACTTTCATCCATCCACACCGTCTCCTGGACAGCGTAGACATGCCCAGGAGGATACGTCGGCAGCTCTTCCGACTCAATTGCACCGCCTGGAGTTCCGCGCACAATAAAAAGAATGGGCAACTTTGTTCCTATATTAAATAATGTCGTTAGATTGTGTATGACGTTAGAGATCGTGGTTTCAGCAGGAAACAATCAACCTCGACTCAAAATCTTATGTGAGCTCCAGAAACTCACTCTCAGACCATCATTAATGTTGTGCTAACAGTAATTTACTCGGTAAATTTACCATCATTGTGCTAACAGCAATTTACTCAATAAAGATATGACAAATACTCACACTGTCAACCCACAAAATAATTTTAGCAAGGTACTCGAAGATTATTGATTTCGAGTTTGCAAAATGTGCAACCAACCAAAATATTGTAGTTCTCAATTTGATGAATTCAATACACAAAGGAGTTTGTTTACATGTACAGTACAACGAAAAATTTACAATAATGAATTTACTAGTAGATTATGAAATAATAGAATATAGAAATAGCAGAATCTATAAACTAAATAATAAATATAAAATATATACCACATATTCAAGAAACATACCATCGGCGCAAATTGCCAACACCGCTGTAAGCCTATCGGAATGCTTCTGCTTAGCTTCGACTTCCGACGTTTCACCAACTTCGCACCAAATTCGTCATGTCTTAGTTCACCGCAGTTTCGTCAACGTTGACGATGTCGCGCAGCGGCTGCTCTCAGTATTTCGTCCAAAAGGACGCCGAAAACGACATTTGGAGCTCTTGGAGCTCGGCTTTCTTCAACTTCGAGAAACACGGTACAGCGTTGTTGGTAGAGGGGAAAAATGGAAATGAAGAAAAAAGCGACGTTGTGCATGGGAATAGAACCCGAAACCTACACGTTCAATGTGAGGTAACTAAATCACTGCGCCAGTGGACTCATACATCATATTTTGTCAGTACCGGACTCTTCACAGCATGTCTGTTCTGCAGCGTGCAGAGCAATTGGGTCGTGCGTTAGTTTGACCAATTGCTAACACACACACTCTACGTGTGTGCCGTGTCAAATGATCCGATACCTTAGTGGAGGTACTGAGTACTTCACAGCTTTTTACATGTCTGTTCTGCAGCGTGCAGAGCAATTGGGTCGCGCGTTAGTTTGACCTATTGCTAACACACACACCCTGCGTTTGTGCCGTGTCAAAGGTTCCGATACCTTAGTGGAGGTACTGAGTATTTTAGTGAATAGTAGTCAGTAGGCGCCTCGTGGCTTGTTTATCCTGACTACTGTCAGTGTTATATTTGCTACCTTGACGAAGGTCCCGTGGCCGAAAGCCAAGAAGAAGCTGGAGACAAAACAATGATATCTTTCGTTCATTGTTGAGCTATTCAGTGGAGATTGTACGCGAACATTCCTCCGACGAGGAAACGCCAACGAACGCCGAAGAACGATCGCGGTCGCGTGACCGGATCGAATGCGTCTCGGGGGACGCGAATGTATGCGGCGGCCTCCTGAGCCGATGGGGTTCGGCTCCGACGGATCAACCAGTTGGGAATGTTCGCAAGTTGATCCATGTGGTGTCACCCCTGCAACAAGTGGATTTCGAGTGGCCGACAGCCGCTACGATCAGCGGCATCCAACCTTGAATTATGGCAGAGGGAGGGACCCCCCCAAACGGCGTGGATTGGGACGACGACTCCCATTTTTGCGTGGACCCAGACGGACGAATCTGGATCCCAGACGGTGCTGTGGACCTACAGCAGCGAATTTGTGTGATCGCTCACTAAGGAGTCAGCAGTCCCCGTCGCATCGCAGCGACGATCAAGTCGGTTTCCGACAAGTATGTGTGGAAGACGCTTTCCACGGACGTCGAAGCGTTTGAATGGACGGGGAAATGATTCCCCGTCCAGTGGGTTCGGCGCTTCACGCGGAGAAGTCTAATGAGCTGATCCATTTCGACTGGTTATCGATGCACGTGGCCAAGTCTGACCAAAAATATGTGCTTGTCGTGAAAGACGACATGAGTGGCTTTGTGTGCTGTTCGCGGCAGAGTCCGCTGACGCCGCCGCGACCGCTCAGTGCCTGATGACGTGGTTTACCACGTTCGGCTGCGTTGAACCATGGGTGTCAGATGGCGGTTCTCACTTCAAGAACGAAGTGATCGAGAAGGTGCGGAAGTTGGTGGGTGCCCGCCGTCATATCACGACAGCCTACAGTCCTTGGGCGAACGGGACTGTAGAAGTAGTCAACCGATCAGTGCTGCGCGCCGTGAAGGAGCTGCTCAACGAAATGAACCTGAACGCGGACGAATGGCTGCATGTGTTGCCCCTCGTTCAAGCCGCCCTCAACCATCAGCCGGCTGGGAGGACTTGCGCCTGTGACAGCGTTTACCGGCCTGCCAGTCATGACCCCGCTGGCAGGATTAGTCCACATGACGTTTACGTCGCAGACTGGCTTGGCGCCGCCTGTCAGAAACATGTGACGGACCTCCAAGTGGTGCTTGAAGAAATGCACCGCCACGTGGCGGTGCGAAGCGACAAGTTGCGTCAGCAAGCGCATGGATGCCGCGACCGAAAATCCCAAGTCAAGTTTGCGGTTGGCAATTTTGTGCTGGTCAGATCGGTCGTCAACCGTCCGACAAAATTGGCCCTGCATTGGCGCGGACCCTGCCAAGTGAGCAGAGTCATCACAGACTATGTGATGGAAACTCAGCAGCTGGTGCCACAGTATAAAGTCACGGTCCTGAAGATGTACCACGAAGGTGGTAGAGAGGTGACCGAAGACCTCGAGGTGAAGATCACGTTCAGCGATGGCGGATTTCACGCGCGATGCGTGGATGGCCAACACCAAGTTTTGGTGAAGTGGCTCGAACTGGACGATTGCAGAATCGTCCTGGGAACCTGCGGCGAATTTGCTGGACAACATTGCAGTCGTATTTCGCAAGTGGCCGGCGGCCAACAAGGAAGACGCTGCAGTGGCCGCCCTCATCAAGTAACTGGACTTTCCGTAGGAGGGGAAGTGTTCTGCAGCGTGCAGAGAAATTGGGTCGCGCGTTAGTTGACCCATTGCTAACACACACACCCTGCGTTTGTGCTGTGTCAAAGGTTCCGATACCTTAGTGGAGGTACTGAGTACTTTAGTGAATAGTAGTCAGTAGGCGCCTCGTGGCTTGTTTATCCTGACTACTGTCAGTGTTATATTTGCTACCTTGACGAAGGTCCCGTGGCCGAAAGCCAAGAAGAAGCGGGAGACAAAACAATGTCCCACTTATGCAGTTAACTGTAACAAGTTAATTGACTTGTTAATGGAATTTGCAAGGTGAGCCACCTTGCTCCTTTTTAATATCCAATCAGAGTCCATCACACCTTGTTTCTTACGCACGATTGGCTATAACACTGACAGAAGAGGTTACAATTTTGAACTTTGAATTTTGTAGAGCTTTGTGTGATGCTGGGAGATGCAGGAACAGGCCGTAATTTTGACATTGCGATCCACTACCGTTAACATGTAAACGGACATTGC